TGGCTGCAAACCCCTTAAGAGAGTTGTAGTGGATTGCTGAGGGGCCTGCCTTAGAGTCTATTTCCCACCTTTGGGATGGGGATAGAGTAGCTAGAAGTCAAAGTGGCTCCAAAGCGATGATCGGAAGTGACTTGAGTGTGGCCAGCTGACCTGAAGAGAAGGCTGGGATTGGAACATTGATGAAGTAGAATAACTTGAATGGACCCGTCCACCAAGGCCATGGATGGACTTTAGTCATCTCAGCAGATGCTGCTAGGATGAAACTAATAATGCCCAAAGACTAGGTGCACTGGGTTCAGTTTGCTGGAGGCCAGTGAAGACAAAAGATGATGTCTGAAACAGCAGTTGTTCTTCCTCTGATGCCAGGGATTCTTCCTTCCCCAGTCATCTTTAGGAGGAGAGAAAAAAAGGGTAAGGAGGAGAATTCTGATTGGACTGTCTGCTATCTGAATGGGAGCTCAAAAGCTAAGTTATTTTCAGTTATAGAGAAGTAAATAATTATTTGCCCACAAATGTACACGTAAGTGAATTGTAGGTGAGGAAGTAAGGACAGAATCACATATATTCAACTCTTTTGAAATGTTTGGCTATGAAGAGGAGTAAAAATGAAGCATAAGTTGGAGGATGATATGGGTGAGCTTAGGACATATTTAAGTGCTGATGGGCATGAGCCAGTTGATGGAGTGAGCTGAAGAAGGCAAGGAATGTGTGTGTGGGGGGTGGGCAATTGATTGATGCTCCTTGAGAAGGTAAGATGGAAGGGAATCCCAGAGCAAAAGCAAGGGAATTGGCCTGTAATGGGAAGAAAGAAAGAGAAGATGGGCTGAGGTAGATTAACTGCAAAGGTGAGGCAAGTTCCTGCCTGATGGTGGAGAGGTATTGTTGAACAGCAGTTATGTGCGTGAACTCTAGTTCCAGATCACCTGGGTTTGAATCACAGTTCTACCATTTACAAGTAGTGTGGCATTGGGCAGTTTATTTAATCTCTCTTGGCTTGGTTTCCTCATTCGTAAAATAGGGATGTTAACAGTACTTATTGTCACTGTGGTTAAGAGCTCAGGCTGCTAACCAAAAGGTTGGCAGTTCGAATCTACCAGCCGATCTTTGGAAACTCTATGGGGCAGTTCTACTCTGTCCTATAGGGTTGCTATGAGTCGGAATTGACTCAGTGGCAACGGGATTTGTTTGTTTGTTTTTTATTAACCTTATTGTTATGACCCCTGGTAACACAGCAATTAAGTGTTCCACTGCTAACTGAAAGGTTGACTATTTGAATCCCTCAGTGGCTCCACAGGAGAAAGACCTGGCAATCTGCACCTGTAAAGATTACACCCTAGAAAAGCTTGTAGGGCAATTCTACTCTGTCACATGGAGTTGCTATGAGTCCAACGCACCTAACAACAACGTTATTGTTAGGATTAAATGAATTAATGTATGTAAAGTATTTTAAACAGTGCCTGGTGTGTGCTAAATGTTATGTAAATTTCACTTTTATTATGACCTCCCTCCCCGCCCCAAGGTATAACCACGGCTTTGAACTGGTTCTTCCCTGTTAAATTGTGGCCGAGGAAGTGACATAGGAACAGACCCGAATTTTAAAAATTTGGGTGAACTGGAACCATAACCGGAATGGGAAAAATTGCAGGTTGAAGCCCTGCCAGAAACTCAGTCTCCCTCTTAAAAAACAAGGGCAGCCTATGCATTGCATAACAACCAAATCTCTTGCCTATTGTCCTGTTCAAAGATGGCGGCTGACGGCACTGCTTTGAATGTGTGTCAGTGTCCTCCATCCTGGCAATAATCCAGTCTCACGCATCAGGCTCCTGAAAAGGCTCACTCACTATATCTCTTCTGAGTCTCCCATTCCAGGGCTTCGAGTGTAATTTTTCTTGTTCTGGTTATGGTTCTAGATCACCCATATTTAAAAAATTTGAATCTATTCTGGTTTTGCTTCATCTCAGCCGTGATGGAACCTGTTTGAACTGGTATGAAGCCCTAGGTATAATAACATAAAGCTGCCAGTTGAAAGGCGGATCAGGGAGCTTGGTATATTTTAGGAATGAGAAAAGATGTGGCACAGTTATTTATCATAGAGGATAGTGATATGTGTGGTAAGATAGCCTTTGAGATTGGTGATTATGATTTATATAGTGTCACTCATCTGTCTGGCTGTGCGATTTTCTTTAGGAGCCCTCACCTGCATGGGTGTAGGTGCAAAGAAGTCAGGTGGTTGGGTCCATGAAGTCTGAGTTTTTTTCAGGTGAGTTTGTCTGAATAATGGGGATGAGGGAGGCAGGATGTTAAGGGTATTTACAGGGGGCAGATTATGATGATGAGGTTTGCACTCTGATATTGAGTAGAAGTGAAGAGTGCAGGAGCTGATGGAAACAGGATTGGCCCTCTGAGACAGTAGTGAGAAGGAGAGGTCTAATGGGATGAATCTTAGAGGAGATTACCTTCTAACATGCTGTATTTTTTCTTTTCTTTTTTTAATTGTACTTCAGGTGAAGGCTTACAGAACAAATAGTTTCTCATGAAACAGAAGTACACGTGTTGTTTTATGA